TAAAGAACACTGGATTTGAAGTTAGAGGACTTAAGTTCCAGTTTCTCACCCATCAGTTTTATGACTTTGGAGAAGGAACTTAAATGAATGGGGATTTGGTTTCTACGTCTACTTAATAAGAGCAGAAATCTAGTCGATCTCTGAAGGCTCTTCCAACGTTAGTGATTCTGTGAATCTGCGTATCCCTCAATTAGTTGTACACTCTGAACCTCAGATCCACTCTTTAATTAAAGGTTAAATTTTTCCCTCTTATCTAGTTGGTGGGGATTCAGCCTCAGAAAGGAACATAAACCACTCATTCTCCTGCCCACCTTTGCCTAAAATAGTCCTTTTCTTTTGCGGACCCTCACGTTCATCTCACTCTCTGAAGAGCTGGGCACATTTTGTCTGTCCTCCCACTATGACAGTTGAAGGTGTAAAGCATTAATTAATTCTTTCATTAATTCAGTTAAATATTATTACTTTCGTAGGCAGTCTTCTAGGGACTGAACAAAACAGGCAAGGTTTTTGGTTGCTGAGAACTCATGATCTAGTAGGGAGAGACAGACAATAGGCAAACAAAAGATACATAGTTTGGGATAGTGGTGAGGTCTGGAAAGAAAACAAAATAGGATGACGGAAAGATGAATAGGGGGAAGGTTAGACTTTATGTTGGTGGGTCAAGGAGGGCCTTTCTGAGAAAATGTCACTTAAACAGAGACTTGGATGGTACAAGGAAACTGCCCCGTGAAGATCTGAGGGATGCACGCTCCAGGTCAAGGGATGGCATGGGCAAGCTCGTAACTCGGGAACAAGCCTGGGGTAGCCTGGAGTAGTGAGAAGCATAGGGTCAAGTATAAATGGCTTAGAAGCCGGGGCATAGCATTTGCTATTATCCTTAAGACAGAGGGAACATGAAGGATCTTTCACAGGAGACCACGATCTGATTTGCATTTCTAAAACACCACTCCGGCTTGGCCATTCCCTGTAGGAGAGTCACTCACCACTTCTGTTTTCCTAACAGTTTTTGCCAGAATCCTGCGGGCTCCCGAATCCCACAATGTCACCTTTGGCTCCTTTGTGACCCTGCGCTGTACGGCAACAGGCATCCCTGTCCCCACCATCACCTGGATTGAAAACGGAAATGCTGTGAGTGCCATCTGTATGGGGACTTGTCGGGGGAAGACCCACTGGTGGTGACTTTCAGGACAGACCGCATATTAGTAGAGTTTGACCTTGATCTCTGTCATTGGTCCCACCTGTACCTCCATTTTCCAAAGCTTTACAATATTTTCATCCTAGAAGTCACTGCCTTGGAAATTGAACTCCACAGGTTTACTTCTCTCCTTGTGTCATGGGGAATAGTAGAAAATCAAATTCATTCTTTATGCTTTGGTACAAAAGGAAAGTGGTAACAATTCCTTCCCACACAAAACTCATCTGTTTAAGAATTAATTCACTACTGGAGCGTACTTTGATGAAAAGTAATCCAGAATTAGATCCCATGTCGGTTAGTGCAACATTCTTCTTTTATTTCTAATACTCATAATAACAACTAACCTATAGTAAGTGATTGCTATGACCAGCGCCTGTCCTAAGCATTCTACATAAAAGTATTCATTTATTCATTCTACAAATATTACTGAACATTATCTGGGCATTAGGCATTATTCTAGACATTGTGGATATAGGTGTAAACAAAACAGATAAAGTTTCCCACCCTCGAATTGCTTACATTATAATGGGGATAAACAAACAATAAAATGAACAAACAGTAGAATCTACATTCTATGGGGATAGTATCAAATGCCAGGGAGAAAAATAAAGCAGGAAAATGAGACAGAAAGGACAACCTTAGAAGAAAGATTCTGCTTTCAATAGAGTGGTCAGGGAAGCCTTATCTAGATGAAGATGTTTGAGCAAAGATCTGGAGGAGGCTGAAGGAGGAGGCTATGTAGATAACTAAGGAAAGATAATTAGGCAAAGGCTCTGAGATAAGGGCGTACTTGGTATGTCAGAGGAACAGCCAGTAGGTCAGTGTGGCTAGATATGAGTGAGCAAAGAGGAAAGAGGTAAGGAGTGTGTACAGGCATGAATCCTATAGGTTTATGTAGGTCACTGAAACAATTTGGCTTTATTTGAGTGAAATGGGATGCCATTGTAGGTCTGTTTCTGTCCTCTGTTTTCCTGCTGATTTTCTTTCATTGTGTTTTGTTTCTTTGTGTGCTTAGTTATCTCTGACTACGGCTGTTCATTGTTTTGAAGAAAAAAAAAGTCAAGGATTAATTTGAGGTCTAGATGAAGGCATTTCTCTCCAAAGAGAATTTTTGTTTGTTTCTGCTAGGGTCCAGGGCCTACTACTAATCTTGGACTGCCTTAAACTAAGCTCAAGATTTGAAGCCCCGTGGACTTCCCAGATCATTACAACATGGTCTTCAATTCTTCATGTGGGGCACTTCATTTGTAGTTCACACAAATATCTCCCTGATATCCAGTTTTATGAGATGTTAGTTCATTGTATATCCTATTAGGCTCCTCACTTTTATGGAAACTTAGTTTTAATTTCTGTCTCCTCATTCCTCAAGGGCATCCAAGGGAAAGTTAAACTTTTCAGGGTTAGAGAATTGTCTTAGGAGAAATAGAAGCTTCTAAGTTTGTTATATCTGTTAAAAATATTTTTTGAGAATTTTGTTTTCAGTGTGAGTTGCTCTGAGTAACATAGCTTACCCATATCTTAAGCAGGAATCCATCATGGATTATTGTTGTAATTTTATTTTATAGACTTGTCTATTTATGTTTAGTTTGCACTCAGTTTCTAGTTTCTGACAGTATTTATGAGATTAAGAGTGCTTATTTTTTATCTTAATTTAATAGGTTTTTTTATCTAAATGTATTTTAAAGTCATATGCCTTATCAATTATTTCAACTTCTTGATGAACATGTAGTTTTCCGCTTTAAATTGCAAAGCTTCCCTTATCGTGAATCATTCTTTCATTCTTTGAATACTTTACTTTTTTTTTTTTTGAATGGTATTGTTTCAGTTTGCTGTAATTTTATTTAGGATTATTGCATCTGTTTTCAAAAATGGGAATGGTCTATTTTTTATGAGCTATTTTGATCAAGGTTTTGTTAACAATATTATACCAGCCCTACAAAATCAATTGGCAAGTTTACGTATTTCCTTTTGATACAGAACTGGAGGTGAGGAGCTTCAGGTGAAAATCTCTCCTAAACTCAGGGACATTTTCCTCTATTGTATCTTTAATTATTGCTTCTCTCTTCTCTCTGTTCTCTCTACTTAGACTTCTATTAAATGAATTTCTTTTAAAACTACAATCTTTCCAATGTTTATGCTCTGCATACTTTTGTAGATGGACAAACAGAGTCTTACTTAATCTGTCAAATTTTCTCAGGTTCTAACACCCATCATCAATGCCCACCATAAGAACCCACTAAAAAAAATCTCATTCACAAATTCTAGATTATGGACAGATGCTGCAGCCTAGTGCTATATGCATACATAATAGTCACAAAGTTCTTCAACTGCTTTACTGACTCTCTCAAAGTTTCCTCCCACCTATAGCCCTGTTCTCTGAACTTTGGAATTTTCTATGACTTGCTAGAGAAAATTTATTCATTCTCCTCTCAGTAAACTTTTAGGCTCCAGCTACTTTGTTGATACTAATTTTTCTATCATTGCAGTCACATTGCTTTGTATCTTCCAGAAATTGTTGAAAAATCCTTGCCCTTTGATTATTATACTCATCCATCTTTCTATGGATTTATTTTTCCTAATTTTAGACACTATTTATCTTTGGTGAGTTCAGTTAGAAAAAGGAAAGTCAAACTTGTGGACTACAACTATTATTGTAACTCAGGTGTTGAACAAGCATGACTTGTGTGTAATCCAGCCTCATTTAATACTTTCTCTGCCCTCTTAAGTTTATTCAGCAGGGAAGGTTCTTTTTCCACCATTGAGGTCTACCCCAAGCAAGCTCTGTGATTTTTCTGGTCACTTTTAGGTGATTTTAAATCACTAGCATCTTCCCAAATTAGTAATTTTAAGTGTCTAAGTCTAAGTAATACCCAAAGCCTCCAGCTGCATTCACAGATGAGATCTTTCCCTTCCTCCCTTCTCAGGACCTATTGCAGGAGTGCTACCTGCTACCTGCCTTCCACAAAAGTCTTGTGGCTGGCTTCTTATCTCATACTCAACATTCTTGACCCATCTCCTAACTGTTATTTATGACTCCTCCAAGTTTGGGGTGGGAGGAAGAGAGGAGCGGTAACTGGAGTGGAAAAATTCTAACTTAACTGGCACTCTTCTAAGTTGACTTTACACGCCTGTGTCTGACAAGTATTTAAAACTACTTCCATTATGGATACATTTGTGGTTCTTCAGAAATCAGGGAATATTCAAGATGACATCAGTGATGCTTTTCCCTCAGGATAGCCCTCAGTTTGTTAGTTGATAGTAAGTTTCCTTATTGGGGTCCCATCAATCTTCCAAAAAGTCCTTTTGGGAGGATTTAAAATAACTCCAAATCAGATCCTCTATAAAACCTTTGTATCTACAAACTCTTGGATCTAGACCATCGAACAAAGCTCCTCTCTCCCCTCCTTCCATTGGAGCCGCTAGGCAGCCTGACTGTGCTTTTTAGGTTTTATAGGTGGGAACGGATACTTGTCTGCTGTGTCAACAAACTGCAGATATGTCAGGGTCTCCATGACACCCTCAAGTCTGGTGATTCGCTAGGACTCAAGGAACTTAGAATATCTGTTGCACTCATGGTTACAGGTCATTACAGTGAAAAGGATACAGACAAAACTCCGTTAAGGATAATCAGTTCACCTTTTTCAGTGGCGTTTCATGGAGAGTACTTAATTCTCCCAGCAATGATGTGTGACACCATGTACAAACATTGAACCAAGGAAGCTCACCTAAGCCTTGCTGTCAGAGTTTGTACTTTGGTCAGTTACATAGGCGTGGGAGGCTCACACGACTGACCTTAGCTAGTCTCCAGCCCTTCCAAAGGTCAAACTGATACAGCATAGCCTAGAGTCCCTGGTGAACAAAAAATGGTTAACATAAACTCTCTGGCATGGCCCAAGGTCTCAGGTTTTCAAAGACACTCTTATTAGGCAGGATATTCCAAGGGATACAAGGTTATCTCAGGAGCAAAGTCAAAGGCCAGTCCTTTCTTTCAAATGCACAGGGTTTGAACTCAAGCCAAGTTCAAGTCCACTGAATTTAACCCTACACTACAGAGCAGGGAACATATACCAACTCTCCATGTGGTCCTACTGAAGACCTTCCTTCATGCCTTAAGAAGATGAAGTAGAGGTTCAAACCAGTCCTTTGGGTGGGGTGAGGCTGGCTCTCAATAAATGTAAGCAACTCAAACCTTGATTAGCCATCGAGACGGTTCTCAGTTATTTTCATTTTCCATGGCTTCCAGGATAATCTCCCTCCAACTTTTTGGTATCTTGGCTACAGTTTCCCATATATTATCCTAATACCATATATTAACAGTAGCATTTTAAAGTCACAGAAGTGTTCCAAATGAAGAGAAAAAAA